CTTCGTGGCCTTGCGCTGCGTCTTCCGTGCTTTAATCCCCCACCCTTCCCCCTTGCTCTTGTAACCGAATGGTATCGGCTTATTCTTATCCACCGTGACTTCATCCCCATCCTCTCCCCACTTCCCCGACTCTTCCAGCGCTTTTAACTGCTGCATGTGTGCGTTGCACGCGTAGATCAGGAACGCCCGGCGCAGGACGAGGCAGCCGCAGACGCAGACCACCGAGCGTACGGTTGAGAGGATGCTGTATTGTCGTCCGAGGAGAGTGAAGGTGACGGCGGGCTGGGGGACGTGCTGGATAAAGCGGAGAGGATTGTGCGCGCGCAGGGTGTTGCCCAGGAGGAACTTAGGGGTGGAGCGAGGGTGGCTGGGATTGAAGCTGCGGCCAAGGACCTTGTAGAGGCTGGGCTTGTGAGTGTTGAGAAGCAGGGTGGTGGAGGCGGGAGGGTGAGGTTCTTGATTGGCAAGGAGGAGGTTAAGGCGGCGTTGCGGGAGGATGGGGATGTTGGGGGGCTTTGTGGGGGGTAGATAGAAACCCCCCACCGCACACAAACACCACCTCCGACAGAGCACGGCAGAAATGCAGCCAAGCCAACGTGAGATAGAAGAAATAGAAAGAAAGAGAAAAAGGACTGCTGGGGCAATCATTCACAGCTAATGAGTGGGTCGTTCTTGGACAAGTTAGTATTATTATAGATATCATGAGACAAGGGTTCATATGTTCAAGGAGATGGAGGACGCGGTCTAGTCGCTCTGAAAAATCTGCAAGCTTGTTGTCGACCACTACAAACTCGTTGCGGACCTCCGTCTCGAACTCGCAGTGTTGATCGTCGCGGTGGCACAACATAGCATCCAAGCGGCGGATCTTGGAGCCTAAATCGCGTAGTGTTGGGCAAGGACGCGTGGGCGGGGAGGTGAGGAGTGGTGGACAGTGAAAGAAGATGGAGGGGGGATTACGGGTGAGTTGGATATATATATATCCAATGTTACCTGGCCCATCCGAAACTCCTTTTCAGGTACAGTACCTGGGGGTGTTCGAGAACCTTTTGGACAGGAGTGTACTATATGAGGCTATCTGCAAAATTCGCTGACACCCCACCATCGCGACCGATATCCACACCAAAACTATCTCTACCAAATCCCTTCTACACCACCACACAATGGTCCAAAGGGTGAATGCAGTGTTCGCGATGGGGTAGTCCGTCCGTCTTGAGCCCGGATGAGGACGGACAACTCTTTGTCGTCCGGTCTCATTCTCCAGGCAATTTGCCCGACAATTCAGACTGGAGGATGTCAGGCCCAGTAGTCCCCCACTATACTACTAACCATTTTAATATCTCAGATTTTCTTTTTCTATGTTATTGTGTTTGCCAGCATGCTATTTATTCATTTTTTGGTTAAATATTTTACTATGGTTCCGCTCACGATAAACCTACGAAAAATGTGGGTGAAAAGTAGACCTGGGGAAAAGTTTATACCAAACACAAAAAGCAACTTTTTATTTTTTTATTACATAGGTTCCATAGCCAGTATGTGTAGCTACAATGTCTACCAATGTCTACCAGCTGAATATTTAATATTGTGTATTGTTGGAGTGATATAACCTTTTGAAAAATGGGGAAAAATAAGCCAATGGGACATGCAAAATGTGAATAATATTCAAAACCTGAGTGATTTTCCATGAAGTTAGGGCTAAACTTTAGGGTTATAGAGGGAAGCCCTACTGAAATGTTGTATAATAAGGGCAATAAGATAGAATCTTGGTATGATACAATATGATAGTATGATTTGTTGAGCAATAATATTGTAGAAAAATTGAATATTTCTTCAATATAGGGGCTCTGGGAGCTGGTACTTATATCACAGACTACTTCTAAAGACCAGGGTTCTGCAAGCATGAGTATGATACCACAATACACTCCATCTGCTTTCACCAAAACCATTTACAATAGCCACCAATTGTCACCACCAGCAGAAATGACATGACCATCAGCCAAAAGGAAGCAAATACAGAACCTTAATGTTCAGAGAGCACATCAATGACAGTGTTTACCAGAGCTATCACCTACGCCAGAGCAAGATGCAGACATAATCAAAGCAGTAGGTTATAATGAAGAGGAAACCAATTACAAGTCAGATGCATCCTTATTCTTGAATGGGAAGGAGGAGCAAGACAATTTTGATGTTCATGGGAAAGGGAGAAGCCAAAGGGGGGACAAGTTTGCCGGGGACAGAAAATTGCAGAAAGGAGATTTAGTCAATGAAGCAGAAAGTGAAGAGTCTATGGATATTGATGGTAGTTTTGGTAATGATATGGGACTCAGAGATGAATCAGAAGTTAAAATTGATGAGACTGGAGATCAGGTTGAGTGGTTTGATGATGGTAGGTTATAACTCAATTAACAAAAACTATAAGTATTAATTGTATTGGAAGGATAGGTAGTATCAAAAGTGATATGGAGGAGGATTTTGCTGGAGGTCAGGAGGAACTAGCAACCAACGAGGATACAACAGAGTCTGGTGTGAAAGAGGCTGCTGATACTTGTTGAAATTCATGATAATTCCATACTGCTGTAATGTTAGTAGGAGTTGCACAAGAAAGAGAGATGTTACAAGATTAGTGTATTTGGGATATTGTTTGATATGTCACACTAAAGGATGCAAGGAAAGGTAGTTAGCAGTAGCAGAAATGTTTGGGAGGTTTCAGGAATTAGCTAAGGATTAAGGATGTCATAGATTAAGAGTTTGTTTGAGGATGAGATGAATTAGTGTCGGACTATGGCTGTTAGGAAATAGATAAGATTTGGTTAGGAAATGCAGGAAGAAGCAGGAAGGTATTAGGACTGTCAGAAAACAGTCAAAGAGAAAGGAAGAATGTTTTAGTAGAAGTTTGAAGGAGCTGATCGGAGGACCTTGTGGAAGACTGGGAGAGAGCATGGAAGTCACTATGGATGAGGTTGAGAGAAAATGTTGTTAAGTGATGATTTGTTATATAAAGGACACCTCTGGTAGCTTAGATAGAACAAGACACAAGACAATTAGCAAAGAACTTCCTGCACAATCCTACCTGATTTTATTAATACTGAGGCCAAGATGGCAAAATTCAATTCACTTTTCATTTGATCAGCAGCTGGACAAGCAGAAGGTGAAGCTTCACTTCTAAGTTTAAAAGGGCAGGCTGGAAAGGTGGATTCGCGAGCAACACAATATCGAAACAAATCTCAAGCCAAGGGAAAGATGGTTCAAGGATCTCAATCGGTCTTGGTTTCCTGGTTATTTGAACATCATAGAAAAGCCTAACAGAGAGCCAGTACTGGTTTGACCCCAATTATGCATGAGCCCTATGCACAACAATCACTCATACAAGTCAAAGAAGAGAGTGTTCAGAAATTGAAGAAATATGTCTATGATCTGAAGGTCAGGTTAAACTCAAAGCAAGTGCAGAATAAGGAGGGTTTAGCTAGACAATGGTGAGTAAGACATATGATGGTAATGGAGTTCTATTCATATTAGTTAAAAATCTGGATATGAGGTTATCCAAATTAGCTACCATAATTGCTGCCATCAAGGGATGGGGTGAATAGGTGGTAAGATGGATAAGAGAGTAGGAAAAGGCATGGGAGGAAAAAACATTTATACCCAAAAGTCAGGAAGGAATTAGCAAGAGAATAACAAACTGGTATGAGGACGAGAAGCTTGAACTTGAAGTTCATAAGGTGATAGCAGGACTTGGGACAGGCTTGAAATCTCAAAAGCAGGCAAATGCAGTTACCAACTATCTCATGTCAGAAGAATATGGTGATGCAATCTTGGAAGATTTGCAACTTGCACAAGCAATTGATGCACCAGGAATTGAGACTGATGAAGTATTAGAAGATGATGAGAGAGTGTGGGAAAGTGATCAGGATGAGATGCTGACAGAGAATGGTAGATCCAGAGGATCATATAAAAAAAAGAGAATCAGAGCAGCAGCAGCAAGACAGTGACTTAGAAGATTGAGATTCCGATATTGCAACATTTGAAAAGGGATATTCGTTGATGGTAACAAGTGAAGTGATGTCCAACTGTACTGTAAAGCCTTTATTCAGTAATTGGACAAGTGGTTAGACTGGATTGCAAAATTTGATGAGAATGGTGTGCATATTTCAATGAATATACCAGAGGGTAATATCATGCATATTTTGATGTCACATGATGAGTGAACATTTAATTTGAATGATGGCCACCACCAGGCATGGTAGAGCTCTGAGCTAACATTTCTTCAACCAAAGTCAAAAGGAAGAGGAATTATGATCAGCGATGTTCTTTATCCCTTTGGAAGAGTTACAGTACCAGAGCAAACTACACATGAAGGGATGGTTTTAGCTGAGCTTGATCCAATGTGTTGTGAAGCAACTGAGTACTTTGAATATGGGAAGAACAATGAAGGATATTGGACTGGGGAACACCTAGTCAATCACATAACTAATGTAGTTATTCTGATATTTCAACTATCGTACCCCCTGGAAAGTGTTTATGGACTCTTCCTATTTGACAATGCAGCTGGTCATTGCTGTTATGCTGATGATGCTTTACGTTCTATCAATGTACGTATGAGACCTGGGGGTAAACAGTATCTACTATGTGCTGGATGGTATGAGATTAATGGAGTCAAACAAATTCAAGAGATGATCTTTCCTCACAAGTATGAGAAATTTCCAAACTTAGCTCAGGGACTAAAGTCAGTTGTAGAAGAGCAGAAATTATGTTGTCCACATCTTCACCTTGATTGCATGTCTTGCTACTGTCAACAATCCAAGTAGATATTAATTCAAAGCAAATCAGTCATGGATGGACTTCACTGCCAAAAAAAACCTAATTACTGCTCCAAGAAAAAGCAGTGTGGAGAGTACTGGAGGGCAATTAATGAGTTTCTACTCATCAAGAGGTGTGGTCAGTGTTTACTCTTAGGCAAACACAGCAAAGATGGAACCTCTACCGTCTGCTGTGCCTGAAAGATTATATCAAAACAACCTGATTTTCGTGAACAAAAAGCCCAATTTCAGGAGGAGGTCGAACAATTGTGCCACTTGGTTCTCTTCCTTCCTGAGTTCCATTGTGAACTTAATTGAATTGAGTACTATTGGGGTTAGATTAAAAAGTATGCAAGGGAAAACTGTGGTGACTCTATTGAAGCATTACGTGATATTCTTCCAATTGCTTTGGATTCTGTAATGCCTCAGTTAATAGGCAAGTATTATCATAAAATACAAAGAATCCTGCAGGCATACCATGATGGTATATTTATGGAAGTGAGGACTTCAAGAAGGTATAAAAGTGACATAAGAGGGTGAGAGCAGAATAATAAAGTACTTTGGATATGAGATAATAGGTTACCATTCTTGTATTATTCTGTAGGTGAATAAGAACTGAAGGTGTAAAGGTTTAATTTCAATATATGTTTATTCCTATTTTGTTATTCTATTAAAAGTTATTTTATGATTTAAGGAAATGTTCCAAATATCCATACATCGAAGGGAAAAAAAAAAAGAAAAAGCGTTTCTAGCAAAAATTCCCCCTTATTTTTTCTTTTTTTCTTTTTTTCTTTTTTTTTTTTCCTGAGGTCTAATGAGACGAAATTTTGGTTTATTATTAGCCGAACCATATACCTGCTTATACTTTATGTTATTCACCATTCTTTAAGTACTCTTGACTAGAAAGGATTTATAGTACCATCATAATATCACAGCAATTATTTGAAGATCATTTTACATATTGCAGTAAAATGGCATACAACAAAATGTACAGTACAACAAAAGACTAAAGATAAAACAGATCAAAAATAAATAAAAATAAATAAGAGGTCAACAATTGTTGTTCTAGGACTCAGCAGTGAATTGCGGTATCAAGAGATGCTTGGGGTTTGTCGGAGGTGGTATCTTCTATTCCCAATAATTGTCTGCTTCGTAACCTATTTATCTTCATTCTGGAGTAACTAGTTAACTGTCTTCCCTGCTTTTTGATTTCATAAAAAATCATACCACACTCATGTCTTTGATTGGGCTCTATCATCTAATACACTATTCAAGTCACCAATGGTGTTGAAAGATTATAGTCCCTCAGAGTCTCTCGCAGCCCTCTGCCATCCTCTGCCATCCCCTGCCAACCCCGCAGTCCTCTACAGTCCCCTATAGTCCCTCGCCGTCACTTGCCATCACTTGCAGTCCCCTACCATCCCCTGCCAAGCCCACAGTCCCCCGCAGTCCCCTATCATCCCTGCTCTACACCTACTGCCCTCCAGCCTCCACCCTAGCTATTATTGTGTCAGGTTGCCGGGCCCGTCGTCCTTTGTGAAACCAACCGTCTTCAGATTTCGCAGATGAGAACGGGACATTTTTCACCGTCCAGTCCAGTCCAGTCCAGTCCAGGGCTCTTGGCAGCCTGTCCCCCGGACCCTGCAGGGCCCCTAGACCGTTGAGAACACTGGGTGAATGGACTACTCCTACAAGAGTAAGAATCGTTACTTTATTAGACATGGGTGTTTCACAAGTGGAAGCCTCATGTCAAACTGGTGTTCCTCGTCCAACAGTGAGTGTATGATCCAAAACATGACACTCTCAGCACAACCATACTGGCTCAGTATGTCCGCCAGAACATAGTTGGAAGATCTTGAAACAGAGAATCAAAGGGGTACATGAGGACGAGTGGCCATCACTCGTGGTAGAAGTGGGAGATTTGGAAAATCTATGTGCCCTGCAGACTGATGCTCGATAGTGGTTAGCGAACTCCGGAGGGCGAACAAGGATGGTAATCATCATAAAGATTATCAGGCAGATACACGAGTTGAAGTTGGAGTGTTGGGAAATGATTGCAGCACCTAATCACAGGATCACCAGAAATGACACAGGATGGGAGATGTGTTGCAGCCAACAGATTGGTACTTACCATGACGTAGCAATGGAGCCAGTCGGACATGTTCTGGTGATCCCATACGGCACGCTCTTCGATACATCTCAACATGGTGATCCTGATATTACCATATCGGCAGGAGAGTTATGAGAATGGGTACTCGTTATGTACTGCCTATTCGAGCATTCGCGACCACAGGCTCCATAAGCAGAGATACCTGATAGCAGAATACAGATAGTTCAGGATAAGTGATATTCTCAATTTTGTTGCAAATCACCGATGATCACTCTTTCAATTGGGCAGAGTTACTGTAGTAGATTGACGAAGTGAATAGAAGAAAATAGGGAATTTGGTAATGAGTTTTGATCAAAGTTTTGCGTGGAATTCGTAACCGTATGAAAGACTTCAATTTATATCCACTTGACATCAAGGTGGATCAGACTATATACTATCAAAAACCCAGCCTCATGAATGTCCATCTCTTCCGTTACATAACCGCTCCTCACTTCATCCTATAACACTCCTCGTTTCGCTCCTCGTTTTGCTCCAGTGCCACACCACCACTCCTCGCATGAGTCCAGAGCCAGAAATCTCCTTGCAGGAGTCCAGACCATGCAATACCAGAGGTTATCGTGAAGCAACTCCTTACATGATCTGCTGTATAACAACAGTTACATGTGCCAGAAATTGGATAAAATACTCTAGGACATAGGGCATAGGAGCTGTGAGGTGATTTTTGTTATAAGCTATATGTCAGGAGTGAAGTGTAGATATATATATAGTGGCAATGATAGTAGATTGATGGGAGGACAACTCCAGGAAGGAGTGAGAGAAGTCTGCTATCTTATGTGCATTCCCTAACAAACAAAAAAGATCAGCAAAGTTCAAAAAAAAAAACTTCTAACTATTTGGTACCTCAGCTTATGGAACCTGTGGTTGTGAATGCTCGAATAGGCGGTACATAACGAGTACCCATTCTCATAACTCTCCTGCAGATATGGTAATTTCAGGATCACCATGTTGAGATGTATCGAAGAGCGTGCCGTATGGGATCACCAGATCATGTCCGACTTGCTCTACAGCTCCGTTATGGTCAATATAAATCAGTTGGCTGCAACACGGCTCCCATCCTGTGGCATTTCTGGTGATCCTGTGATTAGGTGCTGCTACCATTTCCCAACACTCCAACTTCAACTCGTGTGTCTTCCTGACAATCTTTATGATGATTACCATCCTTGTTCACCCACCGGAGTTTGCTAACCACCATCGAGCATCATTCTGCAGGGCCTTTAGATGTTCCAAATCCGCCACTTCGACCATGTATGATGGCCACTCATCATCATGTGTGCAGGTATCGAGTGGTTTGAAACCCCCATCACCCCTTTTGCCCTTGCCACCACTAGGAGGCTTAAACAGGGTGTTCCCAACAGGACACAAAGAATATTCTGAATGTCTGGGAATGTTGGTAACCTTGTTGTGGATCTTATGGCAGAAACTCCAGCTCACATTTTTGTGGGGAGCACCAGGGCTTATCAAATGTTGTGCGGTAGAGGACCTGCGGTTGATACTGAAGGGAGTAGATGTACGATCAGACACATCGCCAGATCGTTGTGCCATGCTGGTAAAGTGTTGATGGTATTGTTGTATGGGCAGGGTCAAGTATGCACAGTGGACGAACGTGGACTTAGTGCAATGGTCTGATGAAGAAAGAGGTAAGGTAAAAATAATAATCACTGGTGAGGAAACTGAAAAACACTAACTAATTCGGAAAAAAACAAGAGTAATTATACCAAAATAAAACCAATCCAAGCCCCATCTTTTGCTTGCCACAAACATCTATCTTTTACCGCAACATTCCAAAACATTGTAAACAAAAATAACCTGGAGAACTTTCTCCGAAATCCACCATGACAAAAGAAAGACAAAGCAAATCCCATACAAGCTTTCCATTGATACCATATTCCCATCCCGGAATATGTTCCCATTGCCGTCTAGTATCAAACACTCCCATTGCCGTCCAACATCAATACTCTCATATCCTTTCAGCATCAATACTCCCGTTTCCTCTCAGCATCAATAGATGGGAGGGCATGGCAAAAATATAATTGTTAATGAAGTGAGGGAGGTGGGAGGCAACAGGGCGGAGGAAACTGTACTCAAAGAAGTAGAAGTCTACGCCACGTCTGATTTGTGAAGTGGAACAATCGGGAGTAGTAGTTCAAGAATGATTGTAAGAGTGGGAGGTTGGAAGATGGTCGTTAAGACAGTGCTTGTGAGAGCAGATAAGGGAGTTGATCGGAAGGGAAAAAATGGTTCCGGGTAGTGGAAAGTAGCAGTGGGATGATGTACAAAAATGGATGAAAGTCTCATACAAACAATGGCATTACCTTCGACTTCTGAAGTGAGTCGAACCTGCTTGATGCAGCTTCAGAGAAGTAGAACATGATGGAGGAGTGGTAGCTCCATAGTACTCCGCTCCTGAGAGTGAGATAAGTGAAGATGGTGGTTAAGACAATATCTTGAGAAAGAATAGGGGATAGAGGGTAAGAGGAGGAAAATTGCTTTAGAGTAGTAGAGGAGTATCAGGATGATCTGGGAAGATGGTAGAAATGTACGTAAATACAAGTGGCCTCACTTCTGACCGCTGAAGTGTTATCAAGTTTACTTAGTTGAGAGAAGTTGTAACAGTTTGGCTTTGTGTGCAGGACTTCATGCTGGCATGTGGAGTAACAGCCTTCTTTACTATTTTCTCAATTGAATTCAATCAAGGGAATATCTGCAGACTTGCGCAGGATTTGCCATGGTTGCGGTCATGTCCGTTAGCCATCGAAAAAGGCCACCGTGTCGCAGCTTTGATACCGAAATCTTTAGCTTAACCATCCCTCGGCTTCCTCTCAGGTTAGAGAGAACAAACCTGTTACTTCTCACCCTACCAACTGGCAGAAAGATTCCATGTATCCCCTTTATGAACCTCCATACCTGCGATACCCATCTCCCTTCCTCCGCCTGTTTTACTTCAGGATTCTATACAAGGTTTTCTAATCTTGGGAGCTGCAAGTAGGATAGTATGCAGGGAACCTGCAGGGTCCCGAATGGTGCAACCGGTCAAGTCCTGAAGGGACGACTGGTCAGTGAGTCTATTTTTCGATAGCTGACTATTTGACTTGGTCCTGACTAAGCCAATCTGAGAATGTCATCGGGCAGATAATATAAGTTACCATGAGGCTCTACTAGATAATTTACACCTAGAGAGAATGGAATTAGGTAATAAAGTGGTGCTTGATGGTACTGAAGTAGATAATTGGGGGTACAGAAGGTCTGGCAATTTTAACAAACTCAATGATTGGTGGGTATGAACATTCTGTAAAGCTGAGTGAGAACCCAAGATATGCAGTATGTTGTGGATGGCCGAGGAAATTGGTTTGGTGAGTTTTTTACCTGTTTTTTGCAT